AATTGTTTTTGTCATTTCAGACACATACAAGTTAGTAATACCTTTACATAGAACCTATAATGGTTCTCGCAGAGGGACAACCAAAGAAGGCGAGATATCTGTGTACTCCACTGAGCAGTAATTTTGTGTTTGTTTTGAGAAGAAAGATCCTACCTTCCAGAGAGACAACCATCTTCCTCTCCTTCCACCATCTTCCCTCTTCAAAGAAAGGCTGGTTGTATCTAATTTGGGGGGTTGACAAGCTTCTCTCTAAAATGATGAGAAGAAATTATTTGAAGTGCTAAGGTTTAGTGAGATTCTTGAAATCTCTTAGTTGTCAGACACATCGCTGACCTGTGAGCCCCTAGTGGCCCTAGTGGTGGAGCTTCTGTGCTGTTTTGTTATATTTGGCACAGCTGCTCGTGCTTTCTCAGCACTTTTTTAAAAATCTTCCTCTACCTCCTTAAGAGAGCAGAATAACAAGTCAGTAATTTTTATAGTCATTCCAGACATATAAAAATTATAATACAGTCTGAGAATGTTTCATGTTGGGTATTTTGGTTATTTTCTGTCTACATTTTCTCAGTCACTTACTAAAAACTGTGCCAGCAGCTGCTGATTTTTCAGCCTCATCCTCTCGATGGGATCTTGCTCTGCTGTTTTAGGAATGCTTTAAACAGTTGTAACATGTAACAAAAGTGAAGGCACAGACAATCATTGGTTTATAAGTAACTTAAAAATGCACTTGACTGACAAATGTTTCAAGTCAGTACACCGGTCGGAATTACAGACAGAGAATTTTGAAATGCCACATTCAAAAACGCAAAAATTTACTGAAACGCATGAGGATATATTTGTCCTAATACAATTCATACAAATTTGTGAAAGAAATGATCAGGATGAATACTGGGTTTGAAAAGATCATCCGCGCAATAAAAAAAGTATATTCATGTCCACTATATGTATATACTATCAATATACTAATGAATAATTGACAGGATATCTGAGAAGGCCTCTTTAAAAAGTAGTTGCATTTGTTAAACTACTTTTGAGGACAAGATGTCCCAGAAATGAAGGATGAAGGATAAGGACTCAAAGTCATGCCCACTGGTCACCCCCTGGTCTGAAAATGTATAGCTCCAGGAGATATATCTCCCTTTTTTTCAACACCATATACTGTATGTATAGCTAAATGGGGGAAAATAAAGAAGTGCCACTGTGATATTTCTACCTTGAAAGTTATTTTGAACCATGCTGGCACAGTCATCAACCTTGTCTGAGGTGATGGGTTCCTCTTGATCTGGAAATAGAAATAGACATGATCAATAAATTGTGGGAATGGGAATGATGGGAAAACCCAAAGTTAGATTTTTTGACATTAAAAACAAATAAAAACAGATTTATGGAAAATCTTGGCAGACCTTTGGAGACTTGCTGTTCTTCATGTTGGGAAATTGGAGTAGCCATTGGAATTGGAAACGGCTCAGTTGGTATCCCATTTCCCTTTTTTGTTTTGTTTTGTTTTGCTTTACTTTGGTAACTTACACATGTGAGATCCATGCTTACCAAGTTGGAGCACAGCAGCAGCTGTATTTTTCTCCACTTTCCTCTGTAATGTCCCTTGCTCCTGCATTTGGGTCTTGCAATGTTATCTGTAGGGAATCCAAGTTAAACTGCTTTATTGACATTTGTAAACATTAAAAAGCCTCAACTAGAATTAAAATGTGAAACTCTCAGAGATAAAGAAGCAATACATGGGTACTATTAAAAGTGTCAATGTGCAGAAATGAACAATAATTAAAATATAGTCAAGAATAATAAAAACATTTGAGTATGTGCAAAATACTTGTATTATTTACAGGACAACTCTCATGAGGGGAAGTTTTTGTCATGGCTACTACCACATGGTGTGAAACTGACATTTAAAGTCTCTCACTTACAACATTTACATTTTTACATCATGAAACTAATTATGGTCACAGGTGTATATTTATACCAAGTCTTTACTACTTTGACTTCAAACTTAAGCATCTCTAAGCGCACTGTGCAACATGCAACATGTCCAAATTATTGTGGGGCAAATCCGTATTATTAATATCTTACAGCCATAAAAATAGTCAGATGTAACGTCATATTTCTAATGTCTCGATGTCATTGTGTGATGTCAGCATAAGTCTGGTGGTATGAAATGTCAGTATATGTTAGGACTTCATTATAAATACATATATTTTAGTTCAGTCTTTTTTTTTATTTATTACCAGTGTGTGCTCCTGCTTGACCAGATGAGGAAGGACTTGGCATTGTACAGCAGGGCCGTACAATCCTTCAACAGGATACTCTCCAGCTGAAAGAGGAAAAAAGACCAACATGTAATCAATTAACACCCGGTCCTGTGTCAAATCATAAATATAACAGCACTAAAAAATGTTTCATATCAAATCCAAGTGTTTTTGATAGAGACTACAAGCACTTCTGTAAGTTGTTCTGAATAAGAGTGTCTGCCAAATGCCATAAATGTATATTTAAAATAAAAAATAAATGTCTACTGAATACTATTATTATTATTATTATTATTATTATTATTATTATTATTATTATTATTATAAGGACACTGACTGTAGCTGGATGTTCCTTAATGCTCCTCACCAGACATGCTCCTTACCAGGTACGGAGCTGCAATAGTGGTCCACTGCCGATGCAGTCGTCCCTGGAAACTCTATCTGATTAACGTGAATGAAGCAGTAATGTGATACACTGTGGTGTAGTGTAGGGATCAAGAGAAGAAAAATACTTATACACTTGTTATAGCTGGCCAGATGGGCTCCCATAGCAGTGGCCCTGTTGCTCCTGGTGGTACACATGGAAGGCTGGAACATGGGGGGCGCAGGACAGGGTGTGACAAGTCACCGACCACCACCCATGAACCAGAGATGGAGAAATTGTCCCAGCTGGGGTAAAATAGCTGTGACATGAGGCGAAGAAACAAACAGGGTTTGGTCAATTCCCTCTGCAAAACTTTTTAGGAAGTGATGTAATATTGCAAGACAGCGTAAGTGTGTTTTGTTTCTTACTCAAAAGGTAATATACCTGGCTAGGCAAGATGACATAAGCCTGGCCCTGAGCACTGGGAGTGAATATCTGCTCCAGCGGTACACGTAGGAGAGTGGGACAGGGTGTGGCAGGTCACCAACCTCAACCCACGGTCCAGAGCAGGAAAAATTGTCCGAGCTGGGGTAATATGGCTGTGGCAGAAGGGGATGAATCAAACAGGGCTTGGGTCATGCTTAAGAGACCTAACTAGGATAATCAATAAACTCCCTCTGTAGAACTCTTAATGAAGTGATGTAATATAGTAATACAGCATGAGAGAAAAGGCATAAATAATTAGGTTATTAAATCCAAATTCAAGATTGGCATAAAAACATCATTTCTGAACTCAAACAGTCCTACACATAGAACAAAAACGGTGTTATACCTGGCCAGGCAGGATGGCATAAGCCTGGCCCTCAGCGCTGGGGTGAAGTCCTGATGGTACACATGGGGGCAGGGACAAGGTGTGGCAGGTCACCAGCCTCAACCCACGGTCCAGAGCTGGACAAATCCCAGCTGGGGTAATATATCTGTGACAGGAGGGGAAGACACAAACAGGGTTTGGGTTTAGCCTTTAAGGACTCCTAATTTAAACTGAAAGATCAAGTCTCCAGCTAAGCTACAAGAAGAAATGTCTGCCATCAGAGTTCTGTCAACATTGTGGAATGCTAGAGATCCAGACAGGACAGATAAAATCCCACTGCAGGAAGTTTTAATTAGCCGAAGTGATGTAATGTGGTAATACAACTCCAGAGAAAAAGACAGAAGTAGGGTAGGTATCATGATAGGTGGTATCATGACTTGAAAGATCAAATCTCCAGCTAAGCTACAAGAAGAAATGTCTGCCATCAGAGTTCTGTCAACATTGTGGAATGCTAGAGATCCAGACAGGACAGATAAATTCCCACTGCAGGAAGTTTTAATTAGCCGAAGTGATGTAATGTGGTAATACAACTCCAGAGACAGAAGTAGGGTAGGTATCATGATACAAGCTGCTGTGGTTTGATAGCAAACAATCGTGTTTAAAAGGGACACGCCACCTATCACAGATCCCGGGAAATGATGGCGAGGTTTCCTGTGTGGACAGCATAGTGATGGGAATCAATGAGTCAGATCATTTGGCTCGGCTCACCAATAAGAGCCGACTCTTTCGGCTCCCAAACAGCGTATTGCCAATTATTACCTTGAATTTCCAAATGAATGTTGTTCACTTTGATTACAAAGAGTACACATATACAAAGAAGCTCATATATGCGAGTTGGCGTCAACGTTCAGCTCAAAAGAGCCGAATCAAAAGAGCCGATTGACTCGCGAACGACACAGCACCAGGACAGAAGCGATGAGGCTACCAGAAAAAAAAAAGAAAAAACAGGAAAAGGACTTGATGGCTGTTTATCCCAGGCCGTGCTCAGTCATTTTATCCCTCATGTTAATGAGAAAGGAGAACGATATGATATTGGAGCGATTCAGTAATGAAAATGCTGGGTTCTGAGGGAGAAATCCTTAGCTCCTTTGCTCAGTTGCTCTATATATTCAGATAGCATTTTCACATGGTACGCAGTTACCACCGAAATGATTACCTCTCTCCAGCTATACAGGTATAGGTATTTTACTATTCTACTATAAGAATCTACCCAGATAGCAAAATTGGTTGTAGGCCTTATCTGGTTGAATTTAGGCCCACTCCCCTCGAATGGCCCTTAAGCTGCAAACTCATGCCAGCGCTCAGCTAATGCTGTTTCACACAAGACTGTGGGGGGAAAAAAGCTGTGCCAGAATTGAACCAGAAGGGCCTAAAGTAAGCCAGATCTCGCCCAGATTTTGTTGCTATCTCTTTTATCTTCAGTCGTCGTGACGAAGCTTTAGCGCCCCCTCTTGGAGAGAATGGAAACTGTTCTAGCCATAATGAATATTACTTGTCGGTCCTACTGTCCCTGGTGGACTAGTGGTTAGGCCACAGTCCACCAGAACCAGACCGCTGTGGCCTGGGTTCAATTCCCAGCCAGGCAACCAACCCCAACCACTGGGGTTGTGTGCAACAATGCACTCTCAGTGCTGGCTGGACAAAATTGGGGAGGGCATCCGGTGTGAGAACTGTGCCAAATCAAATATGTCCAGTGATCTGCTGTGGTGACCCCTAATAGGAGCAGCTGAAAGAGGAGCAATAATAAAATTATTCCTAATAATAAAAATATACTAATATTTACCATTATGTTTTACAAAGGAGGGTACAGTGGCTTAGCGTTTAGCACTGTTGTCTCTCACCTCTGGGGTTGGGGCTCCGAATCCTGCCTTGCGCCCTGTGTGCGCTTCAGGGGTTTCCTCTGGGTACTTCGGTTTCCATCCCCCAGTCCAAAGACGTGTTGTAGGCTGACTGGCATTTCCAAACTTTGAATGGGTGTGCGTGAGATTCTGCTCTTCAATGGTTTGGTACTCATCCATTGTGTCCCCTGAGTTCTCTGGGATAGGCTCCAGGCTCCCCCTGTGACCCTGTGTAGGATAAACGCTACAGAGGATGGATGGATGGTTTTACAAAATGACATTTGGAAATGCCTTCTTCATAACATTACTGTACCTGCTCACAGCTTACCATTTCATCAGATGATGACATTCCTGCAGTAAAGTGCACAAATTAATGTCAAAGATGTCTGAAGATCTTAAAACTGTGATTACAGATGTTCAGAAATGTATAAAGATTTGCTTAAGAGATTTGAGGTTTGCTTAAAGTATTCAATTTCAGGCAAGTTGTGTGTGTGAATGTGGTAAAAAAAAAATGCCACTGACAGTTGTCTTAGAGTTTCCGTGTGTGCACATAATCTTCATTCCCCGCCCTCCGCCAATTATTTCACCTAATTTCTTGTGATCTCAGGTTATATGCATAGCATAATAACATTATCACAATGCATAACACAATCACATTCATAAGGAATTTATGAATGTTTAGATGTACATTCATGAAGTTTTCATTGGTTCTATTACACAAACATGCTTAAAAAAAACAATGCAGCATTTTGAAAACATTTCATTTTTTTATTTAACACAAGTCAAATTTAATATAGATGTGTTCACATACAAACACAAAAGAAATGTTGATTTAAGCAATGAAAATAGCTTAATGAATACATCACTGAAATTTATTAATCTGAAATTGAAGGAATTTGAAGTAACAGAATTTAAATGAAATAAGAGAATTTCATTATGAGCATAAATGTGTTCATTTGTAATTCATTTTCCTTTTTTTCTACTTTAAAAAAACAATTAATACAGTACAGTATTATTCGACATACAAGAATAATAACACCATATGACCCTGCTGGATCAGAAGTGGTCCAAAAGTAATCTGATTATAGTGCACTTTTAAACTAATCTAAAAAGTAACTCATAAAATCTCTAAATCAGTGACATCTATAATTAGTACCAGATTACCCTTACTAAGCAATCTTGCCAACATTGATGTTTGAGCAGTTCTGCAATCACAAGAAGACAGATGAGGAAGTTGTCATGGCTCTAGGGACCTAAAAATCAAAATATGCTGGTTAAAATTAAGTCTCTGTTCTCAGGCCCAGGCATTATACACAGTGGATCTCCTTTTTGAGAGAGCTTTTGTTGTTGTTGTTGTTGTTATTTAGTTCTGTTTAAATATTTGTGAGGGCCGCACGGTGGCACGCTGGTTAGCTTTGCCAGGTCACAGCTCCAGACTCCAGTTGGATTCTCTGCATGCGTGGGTTTCCTCTTGGTTCTCTGGTTTCCTCCCAAAAGCATGCTGGTTGGTGAATAAAGGCTACTCTACTTTACCTCTAGGTGTGAATGAATGTGTGAATGTATATGCACATGGTGCCCTGTGATGAAGTGGCATCCCACTCAGGGTGTATTCCCACCTCACGCCCAGTGCTCCTGGCATAGACTTCAGATCCACCTGGGATAGGATCCTGATCCTGACCAGGATAAATCAGTTACTGAACGAATGACTATTTATGAGTAACCAGAGGGTCCGACTGGCCTGAAAGGTTTCAAAGTCTATTATTCTATGAAGATTTCTCAAGCCTGTGAATGCTCTGCTCAGGATTAGCAGTTACTTTAATATATACAGTGGGAGTGGAAGGCATTTTCATCTGTAGACTTGACCTAAAAATATGATACAACACAGCTGGAGAAACAGTTTTGTAAACGCATGATAATGATGAATCCAGATGTTTGGTGTCTGGTTGGCCTTTCAGCCTCTTGAATGGACTCTTTATCCAATGGGTTTCCACTCTGGAGCCGGAAATACCTTCATCATTCCATGCGCCGCCCATTCTGTAGTCTTACAGAGATTTTCCGGTTTGTAGGACGTGACTTCCGGTTGGTGAGACGTGGCTTGGGGTAGGATAATCAACAAGACAGTTAGCGCTGTCTCCCGTCCTCCTCACTTCTGGCTGAGACTCAACCGCACTGGATGGCAGGGACAAGCCGGAGCAAACATTTCAGCAATATCAGGAGGGTAAGATAAGAAAAACTGTGCTTTTTTCAAAATGATTATTTGCACATCTTTGCTAAAAAGCAACAACTAGCATATATTTTTTTCAGACTTACAACGCTGAGGAGATAGTTTGAGTCTTTTAAGAGAGTTTGTTTACTGAAGGAGCTGCTATTTCTAAATAGTTTTAAATGCTGCCATAAACAGAAATGCAGAATTTATAGATTTGGTCATTTTTATTTGCGGAAGTCAAACTGATGTCTGTCGCAAAGCATTTCAAGCATCCGAAGCCCCCGAAGTCTGGAAAATATAGCTGTAGTTTGGCACTAAACACTCTGCAGCGTGCAGTTTGTCACTTTGTCTAGCTTATGTTGCATCTAAAGTTAGCTAGACATTCCTGAATCCCATTCACGGGTTGAGCATTGACTTCATCCACTACTCTGCAGATTTAACTCAACGCTCATTTTATACCAGAGCCATAGAAATACTTTGCATTGTTTGTACAGTTCTCCAGCCGAATTAGGTTGTGTGTAATATTATTCATGTATTGCGTTTTAAAGATGAGACGAACTCCATGAAGGTCCATCCATGTGGAGGCCGGAGTTGGATCAGCCTAAAACTTCATATGCTTCTGGGATCGAGTGCGCATGCGCACATTGTAAACAGTCTGCCACTGTTTTGAGTTATGGCGCATTTTCTACTGCTTATATTTTGTCCTAGGCTTACAGATATTACAAATAACAATAAAATATCACAATTTGGAGAAAAAAAAGCCCAATATAAATATGAGAAAAGCAAAGTTTCAGTACATCTTTTAGTGTCTGTAGTAGGTATGTACCAAGCCAATATTTTCCATTTTCAGTACATTTTTTTTTATCTAAGTATAGTCCGATACCAGATTCTGATCCATTACTGATCTCCTCACAGTAACCAAGCCAAGATTCTGTAAGCTATTGTTTAAGTAATGCAAGACGTCAGAGGTGCAATGGAGGCATGAATTCTTCCTGTGTCCAAAATTTGTGTCCTGTCCCCCAATATAATACATTTACCACATAAATTATTCCAGTGGATCAGTTTGGGCAATTTTCCAAATGCAGTCTGATAACAGTTTAGTTTAGTCTTTCAGGCTGACTTTGTTCCTGACAACAATGTCCAGGATCAGTATATAGTATCTCTAGTTCCTTAAATACAGTTGGATGGCCAGATCTTAAGCATTTATTATTGCTTATTTGCCAGTTTGTGCATCAAAATATCTTCTTATTCTCTTGTGGCAACGATACAAGATGCAGGAACTAAGATAGACATTTTGTTTTAATGATTATATGTATATGTACAGCTGTTAAAGGTCAGCTTAATGGAAGGAATGCATGTTTTATTTCAGAAATGAAAGCATTTCTCTGTAAAGCATTCAAACCAGTCTAACTCCCCTTCTTTCTGTCATGTCAATTTTTGTGTGTGAAGATTCCTTTCTGCATTGCAGCACGCTGCATGTTGATCAGGAGCACTCTACAGAAGTCTGGCCTCATGAGCGTCGGGCCCGGGAGGCCCTTTTGGGCTCTGGCTGCTCTTCTGGTCGGTGCCGCCTTGCTGGCTGTCACCTCTACGTCCTCTTCCAGTGGGAAGAAAGCTGCTCAGACGGCACTGGCTCATGTGACGACGGCCGCTGCCGGCCCAGGTACCTGGTGCGCCGAGGAGTTGCTGGGCTTCCACAGCCTCACCAAAATGCTGTCCAGAGAGGGCGCAGATGTTTGGTTCTGCTCCCTTGTGGGCTCTATTGCTGTGGGGCTAAGTGGAATCTTTCCCCTCCTGGTGATCCCTATTGAGGCAGGAGCAGCACTGAAAACTGAGGGTAAGCCACACCTATATTATCGTTCTGTTCTAGTGAGGGTTCTGTCACATCTCCAGCATGGAAGAAAAATGATCCTGAACATTGTGCGTTCCACTCAGAGTGGGTCACGATTGTAACTGTTGCAAGCTTAAGGAGAGGATGAAGCTTCACAATGAAGCATGAAACCCTCAGAGAGCCTAGTGTAAGAAACAGTTAATGTTTGCAAGAACAGATTTTCATCATTAGGGCTAGGAATGATCTAAATGGTCTGTGTCTTTTCCACTGTGCAAAGTGTAATTTATGCATGTCCCTCAAATGCTGGAACTTTTAAAAACTGGAAACTATTTCTCAGTAAAAGAACAAGTGTCTTTATTATTCTAGAGTTCAATGTATTACACTGGATTATTATGGGCATCAATTCAGACCCACTCATGAACTCCTAACTACACTCCTAAACACACTCCTGGCTCCTAAATAACTTTGCAGCACATTTTCCGGCCTGAACTAAGCCTGGCAGAGTTTCAGTAGTTACTGAGCTACAAGTGTTTCTTATAATTTGTAGGAAGAATAGTTATTTGACATGTGTGTAACCCTGAGCTAATTTTTTAACTTGTGCAACCAGACGTCTCATTATAGCAGTATATGTAATTCTGTGAGTTCAGAATAGTTGAGTGGCAATACAGAGTTATCCTGTGATGTGGCCAGATGCAGCCATGGATGACAGTC